AAGAAAAGAATTCAGTCAAGAGACATAGACAATTTAAGCAGAAGTTTATTTAATAAAGTAAGCAAAGTAAACACTCCAAAAGAGATTGTAGTGGACTGCCTCAAGGCAGGGAGCAGCCAGGAGGTTCTGCGGGTTCTGCATTTGGATTTTTAAAAAAGTTTTCATGCATATTTATGAAATTAAGAGTCAGACTGATGACAGAAGGTAACCCTTTCCCTCCCAAACCTTGGTGGACCAGATCTCCCTTTTAGAATACTGGTTCCCATGCTCCTCTAGAAAACCCCCCACACGGAGGGTGTCAAAACACAGTACAGGGCTGGAGAGAGGGCTCAGAGGGGAAGAGCTCTTGTTGCTCTTGCAGAGGACCCAGGTTTTGTTCCAATCACCCACATGACAGTTCATAACCATCTGTAACCCCAATTCCAGGGAATCTGAAGCCCTCTTCTGACCTCCTCTGGCACCAGGCACACATGTTATGCACATACATATGTACACACAAGCAAAATACCCATACACATTAAAAACTAAAAGCCATAATGCAAGTGATATTATAATGATATCGGGTCTTTTGAGACCATAGACCCTCTGTGAATGCATGTGTGTAGGAAGATGCCCTCTGGCGCCTTGAGAACTACACGTATGGGGGAAGATGCCCTCTAGTGCCTTAGCTTCAACAACTCAACTACATTTTCAAGGGTGTTTAACCACAGACACAGTCTTATCTCTAGCTCCTTGTCTGTGTGGTATCAGAATCTGGTTCATACACTATTTACCCAGTAAGTACATGTGGCCTTGGAAAATTATACAACTTTACTGAATGTCATTAAAAGCAGCTGCATAAATGGACAGATATTCATTGCAATATTACTCAAAGACTATTACTACACACTTAGTGTGTGTGTGTGTACAAGTGTGGATTGGTGTGAGAATCTATATATGTAGATTCTAAAATCTGCATGAAAACACTAAAGGCTCAAATGTTCAGTATTCTCTTGAAAAAATACGTAGGGAAAGTGAGTGACTTGTCCTTTATACTTTTCCTACATCATCATCATCAGTCTATAGTGATCGAAATGACCCACTTCATTGTCAAGGGTGTCTAGCCACAATGTGGTTGCAGTTTTCTTTGGTTACCTCATCTCTAGCTCCTAAGAGCTCACTAAAACCAACAGGGAGCGGTGGTGTCAAACATCTGCTGCCCCAGTACTGTACTAGGGAGGACAAGAGAATCATAAGTCCAGTGGCAGCCTGGGTTACTCAGTGTCTCAAAACCAATAAATAACAAGTAGGTAAATAAGCAAATAAATACATAAACAAGAAAAAAAACAATAATTGAAAAAGAAAAATGGAGGCAAGGCACGGTGGAACGTGCCTTTAATCCCAGTATTTGGAAGGCACGGGTAGGCAGATCTCTATGAGTTCAAGGCCAATCTGGTCTATATATCTAGTTCTGAGCCAGCCAGAGCTACACAGTCAGACCTTGTCTCAAAACAACAGTAAAACAAACAAATAACAAATACAACTCCAACTACACAACATATTATTTAGAAATTATATAATCCATGATAACTCGATTTAGAAATAAGTCACACTCATCTCCACGAGAGGACAAGAAAATGGTACGAAACAAGAAAAGACTGGTTGCAGTGAGATTTTTAATTTTTGTTTATCGTTTTGTGGGGCAGGGTTGCCCTGTATATCCTAGGCTGGTCGCAAATCTACCCATCCTGTGGAATGTTTCACGGTTTTTATTTTATTTTTCTTTGGTATTTATCATATAGAACATAACATTTTTGCTTTAAAAAATAAATCCCTTATGTAAGTATTTGCCTGAGTATGTGGACATAAACCACATGTGTGCCTGGTACCCTAGGACGTCAGAAGAAGGAGCTGGATTCCTTAAAACTGGAATTACTGATAGTAGTAACCATCATGTGGGTGCTGGGAACAGAACTCAGGTCCTTGCAAGAGCAACAAGTACTCAACCACTGAGCCATTTCTCCAGTCCCACAGGATAAACTTTAAAAGTAATCTTAGGGGTGAAGGTGTAGTTCAGCAGGAGAGTACCACAGAGGCCCTGGGTTTCACCCTTAGCATCTCCAGAATAAAATAAAATGATGTTTATTTGAAAGTCTTTCTAAACACAGCGAAAATCTAGAATATTTTTTTTAATGAAAGACCAGACAAACTTCATCAAAGACAACAGCCAAACAGAACAAACACGAACAGCTCATAGCAAAGAACTGATTTCTTTCAGATAAACCACTAAGAAACGCCAACTCTTAGAGAAAACTTTGCACAAAACATGAACAGACCGTGAAAAAGAAACAAGAGGGTAGGCTCAGCCACTCAGAGAACAACGAGAAACGGAAGTTGCTGGGACGCGACTGCTCGGTTACTGACAGAGACAGGGAAAGCAGGGGAGCCATTGCTTGCTGCAGCCCAGCCCTCGTCACCCTCGTTCCGTCAGGCCTTGGAGCTTTCGCTCCTAAATCACAATCTACAATCCCAGTGCTGCTCCTGTATACAGTCCCTGATGACTGCAATGTCAACTCAGGCTTTTTTCTTCTGATACTCTCTCCACCCCATTCCTTGGGCATTCCCCCCCCCTCTGTTGTCATTGATCCCCTCTTTTGTTGGCCATGTGTCACTAATAAATTCAATACAAAATCCTCCCACCCACAGGCAGTCTACTCTCCAACCCGCTTCTGATGTCCTGCCTATCACTCATGTCCAGCAATTCTTCAGTCCCTTCTGAACCTACGTTCCCTTTCCTGTACTTCTCCCCTTAGTCCTCCTGAGTCCCATTTCAGCTCTGTAAGGCCATCTTGCCCAGGCCTTTCACCGTCTTACCACCCCAGCTTTTACTGTGCTCAACTGGCAACCCCTCCCCTGGGGCTCCCACAACCACTCACCTGTTCTGCAGCTCTACCTGTATGGCCCAAGATGGCCAAAAAACTAGATTTATGGCCGCAGAACTCGGGCAGGCCCTAGCGCTGCTTGGTCATGACGTGGGATTTCTCCCAGACTGTTCACCCTCCTAGACAAACACTTCATCCCCCCAGTGTCTCCCTCTCCATCTTCATCCTCAGCTGCTGACCTTCCTTCTCCACTGAGAAAACAAAGCAATCACAAAACAAAACCAGAAGGCAATCAGAAGAGAGTATCGGCAAGCTCCCACGCTAACCCTCCTTAGAGGCCATGTTCTCTGTCTTCTCCACCACCTTGCTGGACCAATGGTCTGGGTTCCCAGACAAACCATAGCATCCACCCAAGTACCAGAGCCTACCCCTTTCACTAGCTGCAGGACATTAGCACAGAAATCCTCCCTCCTCTTTCTTGCATGCGGGATGCCTCTCCGGGTATCACAGTGGAGTTTTCCTTGCCCTTACTTGCAATGCCCCCGCCTCCAACCTGCTTCTCTGGCCCCTTCAAGGTTGTTCTGCAGTTGTTTCTGAACTCTACAATCCCATTCTCTTTGTACACACTAGGGAGCGAGCTGAGGCCTGACTGTACTGTTGATATGGGCACCCAGAACTCCAGCAGCTCAGTCCCACAGGAGGGCAAAGCCTTCCCCAGGTGAGGGGGAGAAGGAAGGGAAGGCCTTCCTTGGGTGTGGGTCTGAGTGTTGACAGTATGCGCAGACCCAGCACCACCATGCCTACCACCCAGTGTTCACATCCTGAAAACAGCCCCCCTGCAGAAATTGCTCCTACTGAGATTAGCTAAACCTACCTCCTTGTTCAGCCGTATGCGACAACCCCGACTGCTTGTTTATCTGTATGTGATAACCTCACCCCCTTGTTCAGCTGTATGTAACAACCCCAACTGTTTATCTGTATGTAATAACCTCACCTCCTTGTTCAGCTGTGTGCGACAATCTACATCTCCATGACATCTAACTGTATGTTAAACACACTGAGCTCCTGGGATGCCGAGGCTCCTCTATGAGGCTGAGCACAGAACACCCAATCCAAGCTTTTCTGTGTGCCCATGTGTTTGTCGTTCCTTCACTGGCTGCCCAGTGAGGTCAGTACCTGGTGCTGTGCAAGCTTGGCAATGCGCCTCAGCTCCACTGAAACAGGGCTGCTGATGTCATCGCTATCTTTGACACTGCTAAAGCCAACCATCAGTGTTGAGCAGTGCTGGTTACAGTTGCCTGCTGCCTCCTCCTTGGGGCATCTTCTGATGTAACCTCCAGGACACGGCACAGCCTTGATTTGACTCTTACCTCACAGGCAGCTTCTCTGCATTCTCCTTTGCTGGTTCTACATCTCCCTGACATCTAAACACTGGACAGCCCCAGTGCAGCCCTCAGAACTCTCCTGTTTTCTATCAACCCTCATTCCCCCAATCTCATTTATTCACTTTGTGCCCACAGCCTGCATCCTTCCTTTAGGACCCCCAATTCTGTTTCCAGCTTCTTTTTAAACCTCCCACCTGGGTGTTTAGTTAGCCTTCCAAGCATGGTATGGCTACAACCAAACTCCTAGCATTTCACCCTGGCAACTGGCTCTCCCCCAAATCTCCTTTCTAATGAACTTCCTCTTCCAAGTTGATCGGATCTGAAACGCTGGAGACACCTTTGAATGTCACCTCTCTTTGTATCTTTGACTCTCTGGCTTCTCCCCTTATATAACCAAATCCAGACACTAAGACAGGCATGGCAGTGCACATATGTGATCCCAGTACTCAGGAGCCAACAGCACAGAGCACCAGCACCTGGCCCTCAGCAGCCCCACTCTCTGTGTCTCTCCTTAGGTGTCCTTCACCATCTTGTCACGTCCTGATTCCTCTCTGGTTCCTTTGCTAAAGGAGTTGGGGACTGCAGCTCCAGAAAACTTGTCCTAAGGACTTCTCTCAACTGGCATTTCCTTGGTCCCTTGGGAAGTCTCACTGACCTCAGAGCCATCCACATAGCACCTTAGGAAATCTCTTGGCTTCCACCCCTCTGCTGAATGCTCAGTGGCTTGATCCAGGTGCCCTCCCCAAGCCCGTACCTGTCGATAATGACTGGATCTGAAGGCGTCTCATTCCGGTTGCCACAGCTCTTGCGGTCACAGCACCGGCTGAAGAAAAGACGAAGACAGGAAGAAGTGATGGAAGAGTGTGAGGGGCCAGGCCCAATGAGGGATCAGATGTCCTGCTCTGGGTGTAGAATTCCTGCGTGAGGGGGATCTCTTGCAAGAGAAAGCCAGGAGCAGGACCCTTGGCAGCCTAGTTCTAGGAATGGGGTTAGCTGTGAAACCTTGGGGTTAGCTGTGAAATCCATTAGCAGTGGATCATCTACAGTGTCTCTTCGACGACCACAAAGTGAACCTGCCCCTGTAAGAGGCATCCTGACCCAGATGTGTCCTGTGCCCGGCACTCCAGGGGCCTTCTCTAGCTTTTTAAAATTATTATTATTTTAATCATTTTTCTTCCAAGGGTAGTCACTGTCTCAAGAACATGTTTCTAAACATATTTTCTTTCCACATATTGGGAACTGTCTCTGAGGCACTGGAGGACTGATGTGTCTAGGGAAGCCCTTCAGGAAATGCTAGGCTCTAGGGTAAAGAAAAGGGGAGCTATGGCTGTTTCCTTCTCCCTACTCCCGACTTATCTACCAAAGAGCTGCCTGTGGCATTTCTCACATCTAGGCAGCTTGCTTTCCTCCACCAGGCCCCTAAGCAAATCCCAGAGCCCTCTGTGTTACCCAACCCAGCCCTGTCCCCATCCTCCCAGAGAGCTACTCCCTGGAGCTTTATTAGTTAAGCTTCCAGTAGCAGTAGGAGGCCTCTCTTGCAAAAACACTTAGAGAAGTCACATAAACAGGCCAGGCTAATGGGGCCTCAAGGAGCCTCTCCCCTGCCCATGCTTCCCCAGGGACCTGGTGGTTGTTGTGAAATAGAAGAAGGTTTGACGGGGGACCTGGGCTGCAGCTCAAGGAGGTACACTGTCTCGTCAACGTCAAGGCACATCTGGAGGTACCCCCTTACCTGCACATGATCTCGTGCGTGAGCAGCACTCGGCACATTTCAGGATTCTTGTCCTGCCCCTCATAGATGATAGCCTGGGGAGGAGGAAGCGTGCAGGCTGGCGGGGAGGGAGGCTCCTCTCAAGTCCCCGTGGCAAGCACGGGGAGCCTATGCGTCTACCCTGGTGACTCCCAAACCCAGACCCCGGAGAGGTCCCACCCCAGGAAAGCTCATGTTCTTTGCCCGGATCTGAAGAGTCCAGGGGTGAAAAGCAGGAACCTGAAGCCTGGCTGCTCAGGGGGAGGACAGCCTTCTGCCCTCAAATAGGACCGTCACCTCGGTGACAAGAATGGTTCCAGGTCTGCAGATTCCCTGCTGGTGGAGCAGATGGGCTCCTGGTCCCACCCTGCCTTATGCTCCTACCCTCACCCACTCCTAGCATCTCCTTCCGTGCAGGCTGCACCATGCTACAGAGGGCTTCCACCTCTGCTCATGTGTACTGTCCCTTTGCAATTCCTGCCAACTAACAAAACAGACCACTGAGCTACCTCTTCCCCCGCCCCCATCACTTCCCCAGCTCAGACCAGCACATTGCCCTTGGACTATGGGAGCCCCTCTTGCACAGTCTCCCAGCAGCCTCTGTCCTGAACAAGAAGTGAGCTTCTCGAACTGCAAATCTGGCTCCCTGCTCTAGCCTCCGGGCCTTCCAGCCTTCCTCTGTCTGTAGGTTCTTTTCTCTGTAGGCTCCCACATGCCACCCAAGTACCACTGCCGTTGCTTGGCCCACCTTCCCTGTCAAAGTGACCGAGAGCTTCCTGGATATAAGCCATTCTGCTTTGGTCTGGTGGAGGCTGCTAGAAGCGCCTGTCCACACAACAGCGTGCAAGTTGCCGCGCATCATTCCACATCCACTAATCTGGTCCATTTACGAGGCGAGCTCCTTCTCCCAGTATGTTTCTGAAAGGCCCGAGACTTGGGCTGCCTCTCAGAGTGCATCAGGTCGGTTTCCCTGAGCTGCTTTGGTCAGTCCCAAGCCTCCTTCCTGGGACCAGAGTATCATCACCATATGCTGAGTAGACGTCTACAGGACGAGCTCTGGGGCTGCACACAGGTCTCTTTTCTGACCCAGAGCACCCATCCCCCTTTGATGACACTAGAGGACTTCCTCTGGAGAACTGCTCTCAGTGGAGTTGCCTCCACTGTGTGCTCTTGCCTTAGGCATGGTCCCAACTGACTGATAGAGAAAGCAAAACGTCCAGTGCCGTTTCTATTCTACTAATCCCTGGGAATTGGGCTAAGGCTGAACTCTACCTGAGACCACCTGCTTCCTGGGTTTCTTGCTGTCCTGATCCCTTTCCTCTCCTCCAAGGAGGGCTTTTCCTCCTCACCAATAAACTACACGCCCCTGATTTTGTGCCTAAGATTGGGTTGCTAAGGGATATGACTTAAGGGAGGGCCTTTTTATAAATATTTTCTTTTCCAGACTGGAGAGAAAAAGCACAACCTTCTTGCCATAGGCAGGGAGCTGGGAGAGCAGTGAGTAAAGCCACAAGAAAGACAGAGGGGTTAAGAAGGTTTACTCAAACCAAGCCTAGGATGGGCCTGAACATCCCCCAGGCTGGCTCACCTGCTTTGACATGGAGTCAATGAGACGCACATAGAGGTCTTGCTCTGTCCGCAGGCCTAGGATGGGAAGGTAGAAAGAACTTGCTGTCAGGGAACATGAGGAGGCCGCAGATGACTATACCCACACCGTCTCCAGCCCTGATGAGGGTGCTTGTGTCTCAAGGTGCTTTAGTACCCAGACTCTGCTTACCATTGTTATACACCAGCCGAAGGCGGTAATGGATCCCGTTGTTTGTTTTCTCTGTCCCAGGCTCCTGCAAGGACAAGACAGGAAAATGTTCAAGTGCTCAGGGCCTTCAACCTCCGTCACCCATACCCTCCTTCACCCGTACCTGCCACCGAATCCCACTGTCCTTCTTTGCCTTCCAGCCATTCGCCCATGCTTTCCCACTCCTCTTCCCCAGGGTGCATGTGTGTGCGTGTGTGTGCACGTGTGTGTGTGTGTGTGTGTGCGTGTGTGTGCGTGTGTGTGCATGTAAGCGGCAGGGCCCCTGCAGCCCTCCCATCACTCCCAGTGCTAGCCCCAGGCCAGCCCATTAGCCTCTCACTCGATCCTTTTCCACGAAGTCGATGAAGGCTGTGCGCTCCACCTCCACGGGCTGCCCCTGCCGGTCGTACATGGCCAGCACGAAGTGGAAGAAGTTGGACTTCCTGAGGTTGGAGGGGGGCTGCTTTTCAAAATGTGCTCTTGCCAGGCCCACGCCACTGTGGGAGGAAAGGAACTGGAAAACCACGGGAAGGGCCCTCCAGTGAGGAAGACCCCAGGGGTTCTGGCCAGGCAGGTGGCTGGCCAGGAGTAGGCTCTGACATGCCAAGAGTTTGGACAAGAGGTTAAATTGGAAGGGTCCTTCCATCCTGGACAGCACCATATCTGTTCTATAAGGAGGCCTCCAGTGCTGAGGATACCCCAGTGTGCTTCTTTGAGAAAAAAACACCACAGGTGCTGCATGAAGGCATCCTGCCAGGCTTCTCTCTGGGACCCACATTCAGGAAGGCTATCTCTAAAATCAAGTGTATAAATGGTAAACCAATTCATTGTACTGTCCAGAGGCATTCGGGACATCAAAGGGGACCTATGAGGTTCTGGAATGAATTTCTCATTGAACCTCAACTTTCAGCTAGGGCTTCACTGAAACTATGGCATTGCCTAGGACACGATGTCCACCAGACTACCAGGGACACTGAACTGGTTCCAAGCTATCTGACTTCCCATCCTACACCTTGGGCAATGGCTACAGATGGGAATACACTCTCTGGGTGCAGAAGGCATGATTCCAGCTTCAAGACAGCAAGGCCTCTAGACAGGAGAATCTCCTAGTTTGGCCTTACGAAATGTTTTCTCCTGGCTCATCAGAAACCTTGCTCAGAAGCAAGGAGGAAAAGAACAAGACCTTGTTTACCAGATTGCCCCTAAACTCTAGTGAGGCACTAAACTCCGTAACACACAGCACGTAACACTGGAATTAAATGCCTGGAAGAGGAGGGAATTCACAGGCAGAGAGTTGGAACAAGGGTCCAAATATTGTCATCGTGTAAAAAACCAAAGGAGGTAATATTGTTTGAGGTTTTCTTGTTGTTGTTTTTGGGTTTTTTTTTTTTTTTTGGCTTTTATTTGGCGTTTTGGTTTGATCTTGTTTTTGAAATAGGGTCTCTGTAGTCTAGGCTGGCCTGGAACTCACTATGTAGTTCAGGCTGGCCTCAAACTTGCTGTGATCTTCCTGCCTCAGCTTCCCAAGTGCTGGGATTATGGTATGAGCCACCACACCTGGCAAAAAAAACAAAGGATAATTCTTTTGTGGGATGTGGGAGAGACTTACAGGTACTGTGGCTCTCCCAACACCCCAGGGAGTATAAACTCAGAAACCAGAAGAAGCAAGAGAGCAGAACAAAGAGCCCCAGAAATAGCTGTAAGGGCAAGTCCCAGTGGGTCAACACTGGGTAAGGAATGTCGCTCAGTTGGGAAAGTGACTGCCTAGCACGAAGGAAGCCCTGGGTTCAATACCCAGTGCCATAAACAACCAGGACTGGTGGTGCACACCTGTAATCCCAGGACTCTGGAGGTGGAGACAGGAGGATTGGAAGCACATCCTTGGCTACATAGTGAGTTGGAGGTGAGCATGAGATACAGAAGACTCTGTCTCAAAAGAGAGAAAGGAGGAAAATGAAAGGAGGTGGAAAAAATGGGAAGGGGGCTGGGGAGATGGCTCAGTGCTTAAAGCGCTTGTCACATAAGTGTGAGGACTTCAGAGTCCCAGAACCCACAAAGATGCTGAGTGGATATGGCGTTGCTACAAAGGCAGGGACAGAGGATACACATCACAAGCTGGCTAGCTAGCCTAGCCATAGGGATGAGCCCTGGGCTCAATTGAGAGACCCCGCCTCAGTGAGTGAGCTGGAGAAGGATCAAGGAAACATAAGTCACGGGCCGCCACATGCACACATATGCATGTGCACCCATGTACATACATCACATATACATATTCATGGGGTGTAGAGCGAGGAGACGTTCCTGCCAGACTGTGTAGGATTATGAACACTAGGAAAAGTCCAGACTTTCTTCTCCAGGCCGGGCATTCCAAAGCAATGCTCTTACAGGTTTCCCTATCTTCTCCCTAGCAAAGAGTGCTGCGGCCACACTGCTGGGAAATGTGATTCACAGCCCACATGGGAGTCTTTAAAGGCTTTAAGACACCCTACAGAATGGAGTCTGCTTCAGTTTGCTCAGGCTAGTATTCTACATGCATTAGGTCCCTAGACTTCAAGATGATGGTTCCCAAGGATTCTGCCTCTCTATCCTCATGTGCCTAAGCAGGTTCCTCTCATTAATAATGTGTTTCTGCTGGCCCATGTGGCCAATAGAATATAACAAAAATAACAGCCCATGCCTTCCACATTCGGGTCATGAAAACATTGTAGCCTCTGCCTTATTCTTTTCCTTGACTCATTACACAGGGGAAGCCAGCTGCTAGTAAAACCCAGTGCCCAGGACTACGGGGGTGGCTCAGTTGGCAAACTGTGTGCTTTATAAGCATGAGGACCTGAGTTTGGACCCTAGAACCAACACAAAAAGTCAAACGTGGTATTGTATGCTTGTAATCCCAGAGATGGCAAAATGGGAAGCAGAGATAGGGGAAATCCCTGGGGCTTGCTGGTCACTTGGTGAAGTCCCAGGCCAGTGGGACCTCTCTTAAACAGAGGTAAAATGTGCATGAGGAGTGACAAGCAGAGGTTGTCCACTGACTTCTACACATATGTACCCATACATGAACACACACTCATGCGTACGCACGCGCGCACACACACACACACACACACCAGCATCCCAGATGCACATAGGCATGCTTCCTTGACAATGACTACTAAATTCATTGCTCTTTAATATTTTCTTCTACATAATTTAACCAGGAGCCAGTGAGCTAGCTCAACGGGCAGAAGGCTCTTGCTGCCAACCTGAGTTTGATCCCAGAAAGCTACATGGTAGAAGGAGAGGACCAACCCCACCCCTTGTCTTCCCACCGCTCTAAGTACACATAGCACATGTGAGTGAGCCCCTCCCCCCCACACAAATAAATAAATGCAAGAAAGTCTTAAAAATCAACTTACTGTTTTCTTTGACTTCATACTAGGCCATAGTATCTAGGCTGTCAGGAAACGGGACAAATGCAAAATGTATGTTTTCACTCATACAGAGTATAGCAAATTTAAAAAAAAGAACTGTTCTTTCTCCTGGATCCATCTTGGGAGCCACAGTAGCCATGGGAATGGGTGATCTAGGAGGCAGATGTGATAAATCCTCTCGTCTCCAGGGCAAGATGACAGGAAAGGCGCCCAACACCCTTCCCAACCAGAAGACCCTTCTCCAGGGGTATCGTCCTCTGTCCTCTCTCCATTCCTCCCCATTTCCTCCTGGCTAGCTTGCCTCTCAAGTGGGGACTTGACCACCCTCTGTGGGCTTCTCAACCTGGCTGAGAGGCCAGGGAAGCCCGAGGAGAGCTTGAGATCACAGCAGGTCTCTGATTACTAAGGACGAATATGCTAATGAGACAGCAACTCTGAACTCCACCCTCCTGCTCCCAGGGCCAGGGATGGTTTCAAGACAGAAGGGGGTGGCCTTGTAGAGCAACCCCATCACTGCTGCCCTTTATTCCTATGCTGAGTCTGGGAGGCTCTCAGACAGTGGGGAGAAAGTAGACAGGAAGGCCTTGGTAGAGGAGAAGTGGGTGTTGAGAAACTACAGAATCCCCAGGCCACTCAATAGGCCTTTTCTGTGCAAAAGCCCTTACCAGCTCAGGGCTTCTAATTTGGTCTAGAGGAAACTGATGGTGACCTGAATTTCCCTAGACAAATGTCAGTCAGTCCAGAGTCCTGTCTATCCCCTGCTCCTGATGGTCTCCCGAGAATGAAACCCAGAAGTCTTCCTAAAGTCCAGGCCACACTCCCTATGCTGGGCCTGCCCTCCCTATGAGCAGGATTACTCGGGAGAGAGAGCACGGGGATTAAGGAAGGGAAATGCTGGTTCCTCTATGGGATGTGGGTCAGTATCTGGTGCTAGGGAGTGAGGCATAGAGAAACTAAGCCACCTCACCTGTCCCATGGCAGCATCTCACTTCGCCTAGCTCTATTCTTCCCAAGACAGCCTAGAGTAGCACCCAACCCTTCACCCTGCTTAGGTGCACAGGCTTCCGTGGGGCATTTCCATTATCACAAACAATATTAATGACAGTCTTAGCCCCCATCAGACCAAAGCTGGCCAGCAGAATGGGAGAACTCCTGCTAGGTGCATCCTCCGCTCCTTGCCTGGGAAGTCTCCAGTATACCTCAGTAGTGCCTCGGCCAGGAAAGTGAGAAGACTGAAATACAATGGCAAAAGACTTTCTGAAAAGAGTCTAGCGTTTCGTATGTTCAGGACACAGAATAATACAAGGAATGTGCTGTACAGAGGAACCGAAAGCAAAAGAAAACGGAAGCGGGCTGGACCGTGTCTCCCTTCCCTGGCTGTCCTCTTTGCTCCTGTACCTGTAGCCACAGTAGAGGATCAACACCTGATACACAGGACTGCAAGCTACAAAGGGAGAAGCCTGGGGAGGAGGAAGGGAATGGTTTTTTTTTTTTTTTTCCTTTTCTCCCCTTGGGAGAAGCTGCTGCTCTTGTAATGTGAAAACAAACCACAGTTAAAGAGCAGGAACAAAGAGATGTACTAGAACGATGCACAAAGTACCCAGTGATCTGAGAATCCCCATGGCCACAATCTGGGCATACGCATGGGAGCTATAGGTAGCACTGAGTGCCCTCTGCTCAGAACAAAAGACACAAACGAAGGTCGGTGTCTCTGGTTTTGTGCTCTCCAAAGTGGAGTTGTCCAAGACAACCACTGGAGGGTGGGAAGAAACTCGGAGATGCCTACTGGTACATACTCTTTATCTAAAAGAAAGAAAGATGGACGGATAGGAGGATAGAGCCCCTGAATCCTGGAGAGGCAAGGGATTCGTTTACGTTCTCCTAGAAGCACAGAACTTCCTGTGATAAAAACCCAAATATCAACAGCTTATTGGATTGATTCAAGGAACTGCAGCGGTAGAGGGCGGCCCAGAGAGCTACCACTGTAGGCAGCCAAGCTCCAGCCTATGGGGATGAAAACACACAGGACGAGTACTTCAGACTTACCCCACCCGAGTCAGGGACGCAGTGCGTTAGGCACTGCCACC